GTACGAGCATTCCATGTACATAAATAAATGGTTGCTCTGGTTGTCAAAAGGGTCATCAGCCTCGTGACTTTCATCATGAGACATCATAACTCTTCTAATTGAAGAACTTCTAACTCCCATGACAGTTTAAATTGTTTGAATTATTTCTACGGGATGGAGTCTTTATACCCATACCCAACCCTCCTCCTTTATCTGGGCTTGGAACCGGTAGTAGCTCCAGAGGGGCTTCCAGTTCCCGCCACTTTCAAGAAGATGCACTGGAAGTGGATAAAGCACACGTTGGGGGAAACACGCAACTGCTTCACAGGGCAAGCCCTCACATGGAATCCCGAAAGCTAAGCGAGAAGAGGAAGATCAAAGAACACATTACGGCGAGACAGACACGAGAAGAATAAACCAAAATTGGCTGAAAATAGATAGGAAGGCCCAGGACAGACTGGGTTGGAGAATGCTGGTCGGCAGCCTATACTCCATTGGGAGTAACAGGAGTAAGTAATTCAGACCGATATCTAACTTCTGTACGACTGAAACATTTTTAATCGGTTGGTCAATAAGCAGTGACCAATGTGATCAAGTTTATCTGGCGGTTTTTTCAGTTAAGTTGTAATATTCTCACTAGTCTAAGTGACTCTATCCTAGTGAAGTATGTTTGCGTAACCGAAATCGGTCGGTAAGAAACACTGGTGCGGGGTTTTATGTTGGCTTTCATAGGTAAGTAAGTATATATGATTAGATAAACATTTGTCCCTACTAAGTTCCTACTAAATAATAACTCCGCCTTGATCCCCTCTAGGGCCACTGCCGGTCCCAAGCCCGGATAAAAGGGGAGGGTTGGGCGTGGGGTTAGCGACCCCATCCAGTAGAAAACTAACTCGCTAGAAAACGCTAACCAGAAGTGACCATTTAACATAAAGAAAGCTTGTTTGTTGATAAGGTTCTTATTCTAGGTAACATTCAACAAATAGATCATGTTAAAGTGATCTTTTTCAAATTATTTTCCTAAGCAATAAATTTATAAGTTTAAAAAAATAAATGTTGATTTTTATTGGTTTATACGTTTGTTCAATAAAGGAGAACATGACTGTTTACGTGTCATATTCTCGTAAATTTTTCTTTTTATTTAATCGGTGATTACATGAGAAAATGTTTTGGTCAGTGTATATATTATCCCGACTAAACATGGAAAAATATTAACATTTGGTACAGTACATATGAATATTTCATAGTTTGGATTATGTACATACTTTCTTTAGGCAATTATTAAAAGCCAGAATACTGTTAACAATTGTCTTGTCTCACTGTGCGACTAATCAATAATGCTTATCCACAACTTCATAGAGATCGAACCCGTCGGTCTCACAACAAAATAATTAAGTTCGTATCCATACATGTATATATGAATATTCCTTCCTCTCATCATTTATAAAAATCATTTATATCAATCCATAATGTTGATTTCCAAACACAATCATACATGTTTAGACTATTTTTGTCCAGGATGATTGAATAAACATGTACACATGTATGAAAAAACGTATATGCACGCATTTTCTACTTAGAGCATTGTGGAGGTGGCAAAGTGGAGGGGGACAGTAATTTATAGTCATCTTATAAAAAATGTCAGCGAATAAGTGTTTTCATAAAGAACATTTGTCATAGATGTGCTTTCAGAGATAACACTCTTATCGGTTGAGTTTCCAGGGATTAATCTTTTACTAGGAGATTTACTTGTTGACTTGTAATAAGCATTTAATATGAATCTATTTGGTGAAGACGCTGACAAAATATAGAGTCTTCTGACCACCTTAAGCATCCGTGCAAGCAAGACAGGTAACTAGGTATACGGGTAATAAATAATCATAACTAAAACCTGTTTTTGAGGTGTAAATTCATTAAAGTCGTACAAAAATGTAAAATGGTAGAGTCAATTACAAAGAAAACACTGAACATATACATATGGAACAGTATCAGGGATATGACAAAGTGAATCAATATCAAGGGTTAGTTATTTTTACATAAAAATTAGTGAAATTCACTTATCAAATGGGTCTTAATTAGCCAGCTTTAAAGTGAAATATTATTCCATTGTAATCATGAAGTGATCATGGTTAGACAACCACTGAAATCCTGGAAGCACTAGACGGTCGTTTTGTCCTAGTACTGGATACCTAAGTATTGTCTAACATTGACCGGTTTGTCATCATAATGTAATTGAATAATCTCCAAAACCTTACATGGAGAAGTATCATGTGCTCACTACTGACTAACTATGACTGTTCTTTCTCCTCTTCTTTTCTCTTTTTTTTTGGATGATTTTCCATCTTCAACAGAAAACACTTTTGTTAAATATTCGGACGATATCACTGTATGCATACCGATTTCTGCCTCTTCACATCACCTTAAAATAAATGCGTCCTTGTTTCTTATTGAACGATGTTCCTTTGTTCATGGTCTAACACTTAATCTGTCTAAATATCAAACTGTTAACTTTGGCTTGAGACATAAACAGCCCTTAAACACTATGTTAGAATCACGTAAAACTTGTACTATTGAAGATTCTTTAATAAAAACACTGTCAAAGATCATTTATCTTGGTGTAGGTTTTTCCTCTTATCTCTCTTGGTCTTCTCATGTTTCATTGTTATTGAAGAAAGGTTTTCGTTCGACTTTCTACATGTTTACTGCATGCTTTTGTGATTACTGGATGTTTGCTTCTACGATTTGTTAATTCTTGAATATTAACTATTATTCTTCTTCACTGTTCTCCGTTATTCTCTCACAGGCCTGTAGTGACCTACTTTTATCAACAGAACGCGATTGGTATAATGGAAACAATTACTGTCATAAACAACTGTACCAGGGATTGTTTTACTGTACTTTTTTGTGTAACTGTACTAAGAACATACATTCTTCCGTTGATTGTGACCTTTCACGAACTTACGTTCGCTAAGTAGTTCCACTTGTACTCCTTTGGCACGATCTCGGTATTCTTTCGACACCACGAGTGAACAGCCGTTTCATCCTAATATGGGATTCATCAGGCGTGCATAGAAATTTACCAATCTTCCCAAAAACCTTCATACTAGCAATAATGTTGTGTTCACTAGTAACTAACTTTGAGATCCAATTCCTGTCACCCTAATGAGAAGCCATGTTAATCAAGTTCTGACTGTGGCCAGTCGATTTTAAATATACCTTAGAAGCCCGAATATTTTTGCGGTAGCGCATTTTTTGCCCACGAAACTATATGATGTGGTTTCAAATCCTGTGACGACTACATATTTCACATTAGTACGTTGAATTTATAAGAATAATTCATTTTTCAAATAAGAATGTTCATAGATGCAAATACCTTAACTTCTATGTGTTTAGAAAGTCATGAAATGGGTTTTTAATTAGTTTTCAAAAGATAATCTTTTCTGATTATTATTTCTCCTTCTTTCTCTCTGTTCTTCATCAAGTTGAAAGTATAAATTTTTCTCAATAGTTGAGGATGCTTCAAAATTACTTAGATATTCAGGGGTTTACATAATTTAATTATATTTGAATAATTGATATAATCCATTACATATATAAGATCAAGTCACATTTTATGTTGATCATTCAATGTACCTTATTTTCTCCAGATCGATTTTATGAAGCATAACGTAATACTTTAGGTTGTGGTGTGTGCTGCTTATATTGATGTAAGTAGTATATGACACGGGTTAAAAACGTAATGTCTGGCAGCAGAAGATGGGGAAGATCAAGAAAAGAAGAGCGGGAACACAATGCAATTTGTAAGAAACGCATGAACAATGAAATGTGAGACAATGGATTGATGATTGCAACAGGAACAGTCTGGTTTGATAAGATGGATTAATATTTTGCAAACTGACGATTTATTATATAGTTTTTCTATTTTGCTAAGTAACTCTGTAATTTTATGCTAAATAAGATTCGATTGTCCCCACCCGTGCTCTGTTTACAACAGGTTACCATAAATATTGTTTTTTTCTTCTAATTAATGGGAACAAGGAGTCATTCAACACAGTTTAGTATTTCAGCTATCCAAACTTAATCGTTTCCTGTAAAAATATGAGCTTCTAACACAAACAATCAAATAGTAAAATGTCTATTGTTATAATCAGATATAAGTTTGTAATGTCAATAAACTCTTACCCCTATTCAACAAGGAACTTAGAGTTTTCATCAACTTCTATTTGCTTTGAAAATAGTGTTCATCATGAACTGATGTTCATTGAGAAATCTTTGTAAATCAAGATGTCATTGACACAGCTATTTTATCCTAGGCCTGAATTATTGATTATTGCTCAACTATGACCACTACAAAGATAAAACCTTGAACCTTCAAATCACTCAGTTAACATATTACTTTCAGATCAATATAGAAATTCTTATTTCTTAATTCCTTCTACATTAAATAACAACTGAAGTTTTCAGATTCAATCTTAGACAGTGTTCTATGCGTGCTTTTTTAAGAGGTCAGTCAACATTCCTTAATTTGAAATCACACCTCAACTATAAACAATCTATAATGAATATCATCTTGAGAATTGAACCAACCTCCACAAAATCCATTCCATTATATTATATTGTTTAAAAGTATTAAAAAACCTTATAGCTTATTGTTCAAATGGATGAAAACATTCTTTTCAGTAGTAAATAACCATCATGAATTTTTTTTTCTTCTTCTATTAACAATGACAAATGAATGTGAGTATAAAGCAAGATATAAGCAAAATGCAAGATTAAAATCAGACGAATTAGTAAATACTACGTATGTACCTACACAATGGTCAAACACAAACTTAAAAAGAACTTTGAAAAGTCAAATGTAACTTGAACAAATCATTGAAAAACAAACAAATTAAACAGTTGACAATAAACAATCAATAATACTGATGACATGACAAACAATTAGATAGACGGACAGATATATAAACAAACAAATAAGAAAACATAGATTTACCATGATTGTAATCATAGAGAAAATGGGGATTAATGTGATTACGTAATAATAAGCAATTTATAAAGTGTTGCCTGTTTCAGATAAATGAAATAATGAAAGAAATATTATTAATCAATATCTATGTAACAATGATCAAATCTTATATTATTTAACTGACATTATTATTATTCATTGTGTTACTTCATTGGGACTAGTGGTTTCAAAGAAGTGTTGAGAATTTTTCTGAATTATTTTGACTAGATCTATGAAATGAAGCAAGAACAAAAACAAACAATTACAGTAATCTATCATTAATATAGATATTAAAAGTATTCCTGAGTATAATCAGATAGGGGTTTTATGGATATTATTAGTAATTTAATAGTTGAATTCACGAGTCAATTGAAGTTAGACCATCATGGAAAATCTGGAAGCACTGGACGGACGTTTCGTCCTGGGTATTTCATGGAGTCCTAATGAGAAGCAACGACCAGTTGAGTTCAACTGGGCCTCTTCTGAGATAGTAACCCAATGATGAAATTGGTGGACGGTGGCTCAGCTTCATAGATTGGTTGAATTTAGACATTAACACCGTTGGATGCCGGCTAAATGGTCTAGAGGTTAGGCTCTCGCGTGCGAGACTGAGGGGTCCAGGGTTCGAATCTCAAGAGGCAGGATCGTCGATGAGCACAGCTGAAGAGTCTTGTACTAGGACGAAACAGTCGTTCAGTGTATCCAGGTTTTCCATGGTGGTCCAGCTTCAATTGACTCATGAATTCAACTATTATATTCCCGAATAGTTTTATTCATTCTAATGATGTGCTCTTCAGCAGTTCTAGTTTACAACCTCACAGTCGATGATCAAACCCAAAACCTATAAGTCTCATGATGAATGTTTAAACTTTAGAGTATTGAGCTAGCATTTAGTGGTTGACATTAACAACTTAACTCATTTCATGACGATTTATTTCCATCTCCCAACGTGAAGGTTCGAGCACCAGTTAAAGCAAAAAATACCCCTATACAATATCTTACGCATTAATAAATTTGAAGAAAAAAGTCAGGTCTGATTGACTGGAACTGGAAACGGTAAACACTGGATAAAGATCTTCCCAATTTAAAGTAATCATATTTGTCACAAAACATGAATATAGTTGATTCTGATCATTTGAGCTTGAAATCTTAAAAAGAAACCTCTATCAAGTGTTTTGTTTTCAGTTCTCAACAGTTTTCACCTCATATCACCATCAAAATATTTGTTTTTCTTTATAAATCTACCTTAATTTTAAATTGCACAAACTTACTTCAGATTGGTGTAGGGTAAAAATCTTATCATCGATTTAAAAAGTTGGATTCGACTTGCTAGAAAGTCAATTAAATCAGATAACGTGGTTCATCTTTCATGAACGAATAGAAAACTAAATTAAACATGGGGTTTTTATCATTTCCACCTAAAATATAATTGCAATTTCTATGATTCGACTTTCGAAAGAGATATCATCTATCTATCTGTCTATCCATCCATATGTCAGTTGATGCACATAACTAGTTAGTATCGAATGTCCAAAATAATGTAAACTCCCTGCTGCAAACATCTAGATCTTGAATACAGGTTTCTAAATGGTCACTGGTTCAATAGTCAAGTGCTCGCCAATTACGAGGGTAGTCCACGTTCGACTCCCAGCAGGCGCGCGTCGCTTGCCTCTAGATGCCCTGGTATGGCCGGGGGTGGGGAAAGTCAGCCTTCCGTCTCGAAATGTTCTCACATGGCCACATACATATAGCCACTATCAGGGAAGTACTACTCACTTCCCTCTCTTAGTGGCGTGTTGTGACCACGAAATTAAAGGAATGAAAAGCGAATGACTGGCACTTCAACTGAGTTGGTGAGTACGGGTGATCGACCTAGGGGAGTTGGAAAACCCTGATTCCAAACCAATGATGCATATGGGCTCTAGGATCCTGAAGGAATAAATGGTGTATGAACCTATTGCTGGTCTTTGGATACCAAGGGACTGCGTCTCCTTATATTGCTCCATTGTCTTATGGGTTAGACCTGTGGGTTAAAAGCTCGGGGTGTGACCCCTTAGGTAAACTGTCTGCTTCGGTTTGGACGCTTGAGCAGTATTCCATTCCTAACACAAATCGAATGATTAATGTAGCGCACATGTATTTGGTGCTTCGTTGTACAAATGTTTATATGTCTAAATAAATTTGAATAGTCACGTTAAATACACAATGAAAAATCAAAATTATGTAATTTATTATTGTTTTATAGACTAACCATTCGGTAAATTGGTTGCACTGGCTTGTTTACGTAAAAAGTCCATACATAATTCTTGTCCCATTCCTAAAGTATACATACGCCATAGAAATTTGCTAAAAAGCAAAATATTGAACAGTAAAAGTTTAATTTAATTTCAGATGACTTGGATTATCATGTTGTTGATATTTTTGACTGAATTTGAATCAGTTTAGGTTGGCATATGGCATCCAGTAATCATCGCCTCGATATAGTCATTATGATACAATCTGATATCGAATAAATACAATGTGACTATCAGTGGAATCCAGGATACACGTTTTACGCCACTTAAAATTCGTCAGCTGAGTGTACCTGGATCCTAGAAGTGATGTACACTGAGGGATCGGATTATAAATGAGGTCAATTTTAATAGTATATTACTGAGTTGTATGATAAACCGTAGGATATACCCTACGATTTCTAAGACAAACTGTTGAGGATATATACATTTCCTATACAATTGGATACATCTGACAAGTTTCAAACAGAAAGAAACGTGGGTTATAGATTTTACTGCTAGACACATTACATCTACTCTACTTCAGTAAAAATGTAGTTACTTAACTATTCATGTACTCGTTACCGATAATTTTCAAAGGGAATTCTACGTTCCTTAGCTTTATAATACTTCATCTTAAGGTACGGAATAGGGAATAGCTTCTTATTCATAAAAGTAACTAGAATACTAGAAATTTCTATCAGTAATGATGTCTTATATGATCATGCTGAATCTACTTACATTTACTAACTGATCATATGGAGGTTGAATATATCACAGACTACTCAATAATGATTTGATTATTTACTATTTTAAAATTAGTTACAATCTTTGGCAATTATTGAGTATATATTCATTTGGAAAGTACTAGAAACAGTTGTTCATTTCTTCTTCGTTTCAGTAGTAGTTATTTATCAAAAGTAATAGTTAGGTGTAACGTATGAAACGATTAATTAACGATTGATAAATGATTACCTAACTACATGAAATACCAAAGAACACAATTCACCAAGAATCGGAAGTAGATATAAAAAGGATAAATAGCAATTGGAAAGGATTGCCTAGGACAGCGTTGGATAGAGAATGCTGGTGAAAGGTCTATGCTCATTCATGAGGGGTGACAGGCATAAGTAAGTAAGTATACAGACATAACATATTTACGGTTATAACTGTACCATTAGATACCTCCTTAGTGACTCTAATGTTTGCGTATTCACTGCAAGACATGAACATTTGAAGCTCGATCTATGAAGAGGTCACGGATGAACACAGTTGATTCTTTTACTAGTACTCAACAACTATTTATTACTCACGGATTTGAAATGATACACTAGCTCTGACGAATCTATGACAAATACACTACACAAATTGAATCAATCTTCACGAAACATCATGAACTAAGAGAATGACATATTCTAAATTGCTCAATCACCTCACCGATCTTTCATTTATGTTAATATGAATTCTAATTTCATTCAATCATAAAATAAAACTCTTAACATAGTCTCTACATGTAAATCAAACTATTTTATTATTTTAAACAAGGTATAGCATGTAAGGGTACATTCTTGTGAGTTGCCTTGTTCGTTTTTTTTTCCTTCTTTAAACAAAGAAAGAGAAACACGAAAATCCCACGACATAAACATAAAACAGAATGTTGTTTTTTATCAATAATTTATATGTTAGACTGTAATGAATGAACCTTGTTGTGAATTGTAGTCATTAATTTTTTATTTTTAGTATAGACACTATGATTTCACAACTATTGTTTATATATATATATTTGTTTTTCATAGTTTAAATCATGGGTCATGATACGTCTGTTATATCCTTCCTGTTTTTCACTGGGCTTTTTTTAAGGAAAAAAATAAACTACAGTCTCTCCTCTATAACGCAAACAATGAAAAGAAATAAACGAACAAGTTTCATCTTTTCCTAATTTTAAAATAGCAGACAAAATGATCTCAAATGAGTACAGATAAAGTTATGTTAAAACTAACGTTTAAAATAATTTCGTATCAGTTGGTTGGTATACTGGATAGCACACTGTTATCGGAGGGAATAGTTTGGATGTTATTCTATATACACTATCACAGCTGGTCAATAGATGATAAGGGGCGCAGTCGGTCATCATTATTGCAGAGTATATATATACATATAATATATGGTCTATGCTATTTATGTTTGTCAACATAAGTATTATGTAACACCAATCAGAAGTGGAATATCTGGTATCGGAAGGTTAAGGTTATGAAATTGAAGAGAACGGTGCTATAAACAGAGAGTAGTTGTTATAACAACAGGAATGAAGGAACGATGAAGTTTGTAAGCGATAAATGTTGGATGATGTGTATTTAACGTAGTATATTAATTCATTTCTAGCTCATAAAATATGACAAACATTTGTATACAACTGAATTTCAACATACACTTTACTCAACAATTTAGCATAAATAATTTAAAATTGAAACATCGAACTCCAGTTAATGTATGGGATAGGCGAGGAAAACAATTCAAGTAACCTTTATCACTTTTGTATTTTTCGTAATGTTAATTAAAAGAAACGGAATGTAATTACTTAGTGAATTCGTTTGATAATTATCAAGATGAATGATTAATATCTTAGCCATTGGCTTATTTTTAATAATTTCGTTTGATATTGTAATGGAGGACCTTTAAAAGATTTATTATTAACAGTTATTTACTATATATACAATGGAATAAGATAGAAATGTCACCGGATATGTGCACAGTTGAAGAGTCTTATATTAGAACGAAAACTATCCTGTGTGAAATGGTTCCTGAAAGTTGTTCAATTAACACCAGTCTGTGTTGCAGACTATAATCTTATACTGTAGTTGACAAACAGGTCATAATAAATTTCAAGTAGAAGAGATTAGTAAAACTTGAATTTTATTACCGTCAATCCAAAATACAATTTTGATATTCTATTTCAGACATTTTATGAGAATTTACTTTTGTTCGTTCATGTAAAGTCGAAAATCAGGGACTATAGAATACAACTGGTTTTAAATTCCTTGACAGACTACATGGACAACCTGAGGGACTTCTATAATCTTTAATGAGCATTGATAAGGTGTTTCACACAACAATGAAACAGTTGTTCAGTTCATCGTGATTACAAAACTATAATATAGAGCATCCACAAATTCCAATTGTATTGGTCTCCCTACTTAAAACTTATTGAGTAATACGAGTTAAAAGAAAATGTACTAATAAGATTAACATGAGTGAGACAAATGGAGATTCGGCGAGACTACAATTTATGGACGAATCAATCACGTATAAGATAACACGTCTCAGATTTTGGCGCGAAATTCACTCATCCATTTGGATAAATAGAGTTTTGGCATTACAGCTGATGTCGGTTCCTGATGAAAACCCTAAATCTAATTTCTAACCTTAATCATCAACTGTAAATCATAATTCTAATTCTTCACACAGGTTTATAACACTCATTTGGTCCTGGTTATTACGTGGACACTCTCAAGGTCAGTCTAGCGTCGCCCAAAGGTCACCCATAAATTATAGTTTCACCGGAGATTCGAACAGTATAAGCATAAAGTTATTGCTGGTATATTTTACAATTTTGTTCAATTTTCATTGGTCCTTGCTTTATGTTGACTCATGAAGATTGTGTTCTAGAAGACAAAAATAACTGGAGAAAATCGTTGTCTGTCATTAAAGAATTTCGGTACAATGACTGTATAAAGCTTGAAACGATAAAGTTGTTTGACTAGGTAGCATTAAAATTGATCACAGTTTAGCCTCGACTTCGGCTGATTACTAACTACAAAATCAGTAGTACTATCTCATTTGAAAGCAACATAGTCACATGAATCTCTGATTGAAGTGAAATTAGGTAAGTTTTTTTCCCGTACATACATCAAACTACAAAGAAACCAAGCGTATGAATATTCCCTTGATAATATGTCAGTAGAAGCTTCAGTGTAAAAGTTTATTTGAAATATATTTGAAAAAGATTATTTAGAAAAATCGGACTATAAATATTAAATTATGTTATTAAAAGGGAATCTCCTTGACACTGAATGGGAAATATTAAAAAGCCGACTGCAAGTACCTTAGTCCTTTATTCTTCGTAGTAACGTCTTCTATCTAGTGCACCACAACACAAAGCCCAAATGAAAAAGTTCTTGTTGATTACATTTGGGGATATCTTGAACAAACACCACAGTAAATACTTGTGATCAAGGTAGTTACCCAGTGCTTATTGAGAAAAAGGATAAAACTACCAACCATCCTATTCAGATTTATATTTATTGTGGTAAGTACACTTTGTCTACAGGGAATGTAACTTGGATTCTGTTGTTATGAAAAAAGACTACGGAAAACTTTGTACATTCAAATAAATTCATCACAAATTATCAAGTTAATGACTATAGTGAATTAAAGGTCTTATTCTTATTACTTCATTAGTTATGATCAAAAACAGTGTCAAAACGTTTTCCGGAACTACTCTTGACATCTGAAACAAAAATCATTTACTCTCATTTAAGATGGGAGACATACACATACAACTATCTACTCAATACTAAAACTGTTTGTTAGATCTATTTGATTTCCTTATCTCCATCTTTCTAACTTCATAGAAAAAATGCATTTGCAAACAGTGATGGAACACAGGATGTAAGATTCGTTGATGCTGGAATCCATCGTCAAAATATTCTTACATCGCCTTTTTGATGTTCACATTAAATTTAGTAGCTTGCTTGAACCCTACTTTTCTTTTTTCTTTAACACGTTATACTACTTATCAATATTCAGTAACTTATCTCAGTTTCACTCATTTTTGAGTATATGTTATAGAATTTACATGAACCTGTGACATTTTATCGACTTCTTAATTTAACTGCATCCTCTTAAAATTCCTGACGATTTGTTTTCATGTGTTTTACGTTCATTTGACATTTGTTTTCTCGCAAAACTTTTATCTAGTTCAAAAAGTCACCGTTTCGACTTGTTGCTTTCTACTGTTGAATTTGACACAACTACTAAATATTACTTGGTATAACGTATGCTCTTGGTAAATTGTTCTTATGTAACCAGATCATGAAGTACTTATTCCCAGATCGTACCTAATTGTCCGTAATTTTCTGAGGTTTCTCCCGATCTAAGTTCTATTAACTGTATATATAATCATTTACTTAATAATACTATCTTATTTTGAATAAATCATATTGCTTTGGATTTGGGATTTCATGAGTGACTCAATCATTTGATCTAAATCTAAGAGCGAATCTGACCAAATGTACTGAAATAAACTTTACTCGACAGTAAAAATATATATTCTAACATAATTCTAACTCACCTTAACTGTGAATATGCAATGTCGTTTTGAAAGTCAGTTTCCGCTTGGATTGGATCATCACCTTCAATGCTAAATAAAAGGGAACAGAAAAAAATCAAACACAGTAAAACATAGCAAACATGGTAAAACCAACGAACCCAGCTCTATTTTAAAATATTCTCTCTCCTTTTAAATTTCATGGTGAAGTCATCCAGTTAAAAGGTCGATACTTAGTATCTTTTTTTCAAAGTAGAGTAAAATCGGTGCAAGAATTCTATACTGACGGCTTATATCTGTAAATATAGGACCAAATAAACTAACATTTATCTGAAAATACAGCATTATTAGACGATGTGAAAATAATTAGTCAAGATTTGGAAGCTTCGATTTACAAGATATTCGTCAATCAATTAGACGCTTTATAAATGACAACAAAAGAAATGAATGGAATATACCTCAAATCAGTCTTCATTAATATGTCAGTTGACCTGTATGCACTACTCAATGATAACAGAACAAAAACATGTATAGAACTGTATATGATACATGACTGTATACAACCATAGTATCAGAAACGAGAAAAAAAACATATGTTAGGAGTTATACTTACAAAATAGATAATCAACTTGAAAGAAATGGGATTTTAGAAAGTAGGTAGCACAAAGTAACAGACATATGAAGGGGTAAGAGATTATTAATGCGCATAAAATTATGTGCTAAGATGTTGAAATAAAAAAAATTACCAATTTGAATGAATGGTCGGTTACAACAAAAAAATACTTATTATTCGGTGAAAAGTATGAGGCCTAAAGACGTTAAATTTATGCTCAAACTAATAGTGTCGAGTTCATTTACTCATCTTTAAGAAACAATGATGACAGTATGTGCACAGTAGATGTTCAGTGTTTAAGATATTCGAATTTGAGCCTCCAGATGTCAGGTTCAAATATTGAACCACCTACTTGTGTTTTGGAAATCGGTTAGTATCATTGGATTCAAGCCTAGCATATTAATCTGTACTTGGTGAATGAGTTGAAATAAAATAAATTTGAATAAAAACTATTCATTTGTAATGTTTATTGAAAACTTATTTCTATATTTTGACCAGTAGACTACCACTAGTAAAATATTCGTGAAGTGAATGCAGTACAGTCTGTGTGTTTTCCATACGTTTGAACTTCATTTTGTGAACCAAACCACAAATATATTCTTCCTCCTTAAATTTCTGAGCTTATATTGAATAAATGGATTATGGTTAACAGCGGAATCCAGGACGGCTGTTTTCACATATATGGGAGTCTTCAGCTGGATGTACTTGCATCCTAGAGTTGATGATCCCTCCGGATGAACACATGCCGAATAAGGCTGATCAAAATCCGGTCAAGATGTCAACAACTAGATAATCTAAGCTATTACAAATTAAGTTAAAATTTATACGGGTTGAATAAGTGAACAGATGTCTGAACTCCGTAGCAATGTGGATAATGTGTTGGACGTTTCAAGCTAAAGCTACTAGGTTTAAGTTCTAATATGAAAATTAACACTTCAACGTAACTACATCCGGTTGAAGAGTCCCAAATCGGATGAGATACACATCGGGAATCCACCTCAACTCAAATTCTATCTGTTCTACGTAAACATGTAAAGGATGTTTATGTAGAGACAATCAGCATGAAATATGCACATATAAACTAAAAGCTGATCAAAATTCATTCAAAATATCAATAATTCAAAATACTCTTAACTAAACTGTATGAACAGTGAGAGTAAAGCCGATTCTGCCAGACATGTTTCTATTGTACTTCATATTCTTTGTCACAAGACATTACATATGCATATGTAATTATTTTCACTATTGGCTTTATGAGTAGATGTAAACTAAACCACTATTGGAAACCTGTAAGCACTGGATGGCCGTTTCGTCCTAGTATGGGACTACTCAGCATTGCACATCCACAAGTACGCGTGCGGGGCCCAAATACAGGAACTTTGGTCTCGAGCAAACACTTGACTTTTAGACCTGACGGTATTAATGTCTAACTTCAATCTATGCATGATCTCTCCCAACCCTTCAAACATTGTCATCGGTGGTTTATGTCTTACACCCGACACGGATTGGACTCTATTTGTCACGACTTCAATGATGCTTTAGCTTAGGTCAACTCATGAATCGAACAACGAAAATACTACAATCTTCACAATTCCTCATTCTGATATATTTATTTGTTTATAAAAACAAATCGTTGAGTCGCGCCGTTTGAACCCTCAGCAAAATGTTTGTATATTAATACAAACACTTATCTTTGTGAACTATTCTCCGTTTATGACAATAAACATCAGTTCATTACTGACTGTATTTCATTATTTGGTTTGTTTGAAATGACAAAGAAGATTTACTTCTTATGAAGATGCTTTTGTTAGAAATGTTGTGTATTTTAAACTATTAAATGGCTAATCACTGAGATTTCATTGTTGTTCTAAACAATACTATCAGAGCCTACTTCATGCCGAATTGAGCTTTCCAGTCATCCCACAAACGTTGATTCAATTCTTTCTAATAGCCTTATATGTGATTGATCTTCTTCATTTGTACTTGCATTAACCTTGAATATCCATTTCAGTCGACCTCTGACCATGTATTTAACTGAGCTCTACAGTATGGGTTGATGTTACTATTGATTGTCAAATAATTTGAATTCCATCCTTCTTGAGTTTCTACATCATATTTGTAGTTTCGTTGCTTCATAATTTTGACATCCCAATCGAATTTATGTTCATGATTGTTCACATAGATTGATTTCAGTGATGTATAACTTCCTGTGAAATAGACACTGGTGATATTGGCCAGAACTACAATGTCAACTTCCGAACTAAACCATTCAGTTCAAGCAACACAACGCCAACGATATACGTAAGTTCACTGAATTATTTAAGCGTGATTGTGAATGCACAAATATGTGTAAAAAGAAAATCAAATCAAAGAAAGATATACTTACACTGGATATCTTTGACGTTCAGCCCGTTCACGTTGCAAAGCGATGAAAAAGGCAGCATTCCAGAACCTCATTGACTGCCAAATCACTTGATCTTTCAATAATACATAAAGATATTTTTGCTCAGCGGTACCATTTGAAGAGACAGCTGAAAACAGTAAATAATGCAAATAAGATGATGAGTGTTATAATATCTCACAAAACATAGAATGCTTCTATAACGACATGAGTAAATATTTCATGAAAAACACGGACCGATTAAAGTTAGTTTACTGTTGAAAACGTGGAAGGTTGAGACAACCGTCTAGTCATAATACGGGACTCCTTAGAAACGTACATTCACGGACTCGGAAACAGGAGTCGGACCCAGGACCTACAATCTCATATACAATTACTAAATCGTGTCAGGTGTGAGGAAGGTATCCACTGAAGACAATGTAAAATAGTCTCACATTATCGTGGATCTTTTGAAATTGGAGTTGTACGTCAATGAATTTCGGCACGGTAGTATCGATGTTAAGCGTCAGCACGCGGGAGTAAAAGTCCTGTACCCAATCCCCTCTCTCAGCTTCGTGGATGCCCACTGCTCAGGAATCTCATGCCAGGATGAAACGGTCTCGCAGTGCTTTTATGTTTTTAATGGCAGTCTAACATTGATCAGCTCATGATTTCAATGAAATTCAATAACCTCCACAACTTCCAGTTGGCTACACCACATCAATATTATCAGTTTATCGCTCTATCAATGCTTGCATTAATGTTTAGATTAATATACTTTAAAAAGAGATTCTGGCTATCACATAAGGTGACTCTTCGATATCATGAATCGATTAAAGTTAGGAACTAAAATTATGGGGTGCCAGCTCAGTGGTCTAGAGGTTGTGTTCGCGCACAGAACTGAACTTTCTGGATTCTATTACCACATGAGAGACCTAGGATGCGCACTGCTGACGAGTTCCATACTAAGACGAAACGACTATCCAGTATATCCAGGTTTCCAGTGGTCATCTAATTTTATTCATTTATTGACTTTAATAAAACTTAATAATTTCCACAATCCCTCATCAGCTTTACTTACTTTCATGGTATAATGAGAAACTTAAATGCATAATGATATAAGCTGGAGTATAATCTTCATTTTCACTACATTGATTTAATAATGGACCAATGAATAAAGCCAATTGTTCCAGAAGTTGATTAGGTATACATTTCATACCCTTTGTCTATAAATGAAGGGGAATGTACAATCAAAGTTTTACTAATTGGTTAAACATAAAAGCGAGAAAAGGCTATAAAAAGTTCTGAAAACAATTAATTATGGATGAATAAATTTGAAGAATTTATCATTTCAAGATACTACTTATAAAATTTAATAGTACACTATTTTTGCAGTATAAAAATTCTAGGAACGTTTTGTCCAATCTGACCCAAACATTTTGAACTACTATCAATAGTACAGAATTATTCATGATCAATTTTGAACTTAGACGTAAGTCATTTATTAGGTGATATGAATTGTTATACAGCTTGATTTAACTGGAATTAAAAGAAAGTAGTTCTAAAGATGAATACAATATATATTATAAGTATATGTAAATATTTTTGAATATTACACTATAAACTTGCGTTACAACATGAGCGTAGAAATTACTACAAATACAACTATTTACTGAATATGATTAAGTAGGAAAAACAATATAGAAAAGAGTTAAAGTGAAGAGAGTAGGGATAGAACATAAACAGACACAAGTTGGGATTGAATAAATGAGAAATATGTACAGGTGAAAAGTAAACAATCGTTTGCTTTTATTTCAAACTCCTCAGAAGTAATTGTTAACAACCTAGAGACTTTGATGACAGGATCACTCATTCACACTATTTCATGTGATAACGATAATAAGTAAATTTCGATAATGATATTAGAAGACGAAGATTATCAGAACTATAATAATAATAATAATAATAATAATAATAATAATAATAATAATAATAATAATAATAATAATAATAATAATAATAATAATAATAATAATAATAATAATAATAATGTGATTTATTAGCGCAATACATTTCGAACAATCTGGTCACACATATACTTGTTAAAAGCATTTATATATAAAGATAAAAGGTCAACTAGACAGGAAACGGGGTAAGAGGAGATAAGGATAATGAAAAGAGTAATAATAATAATAATAATAATAATAATAATGTGAACACAAAGCGAAACCTAATCGCTCTGGATAATAAGTCAATATTAATAAGTAATCTGAATTTCAGTCACTTTGTAATGAGATATCAAGCGCTACTTTATCCACGAGAGGTTATCAGTTTCTAAAATATTGTTTGAAATATTGCCGTTCATCAAGATTAGACTATCAATGATATCCTTGAGCAAATCAGCAATATGCTTTTGACCTAAATCATTGCAGACATCAGATGGAAGAAACTCAAATCTTTAGTGGGATGACTGTTATATGAACGCTATTTCAAAATGAGAACTTCACAGAATCACTTGACTCATCTCAATACGAAAACATATTCTCCATGAAATGACAAAATAATAGCTTACTTGAGATTTTAGTTCTTTGGCAAATCTTGAACGACCACTATGCCTCTGAAATCAGAAAGTGAAAATTAGTCAAATCATCATTAATTTTTCGGGAAAAAGATATATTATGTTCAATTGGTTTATTTCAAGTGGACTTCAGCCATTTTTATTTCATTACTTACGCCATATTACTTAATATGCTTTCAGTAGTATTCCGTTTTCAATCATAGTTTATTGGCTTGTTATGACAATTCACTGACCGATTACTTTTGCTACTAGATGTAAAGAAGCAGTATTTTACTTCCATAATTCCCCTGAAAATTCGTTTAAGCACGAAAAATTTTGGGTACTGCCGATATACTAGGGTTATGGGAAATCAGATAAACTCAAAGATGTTTTATTTACGTTTAGACAATTATGAAACATAACTCCGAATGGAGTCCCTCCGGAGGCCACTGCCGGTCCAAAACCCGGATAAAGGAGGAGGGTTGTGCATGGGGTTAGCCACTCCATCCCGTAGAAAACTAACTCTCTAAAAAAACGCCAACCAAAAAAAATTATTTAAACCATTTAAACTCTACCTTGGGAGTCAGAAGGTTTTCATTTAGAACAGTTAAGACGTCTCATGATGAAAGCCGAGTTCCTTCGGAAGTCACGAGACTGGTACCCCTTCTGACAACCAGAGCAACCATTTTTTTAGGTACATGTGATGCTCATACAATGTCGGAGACTGAGAGAGTCTTCCAAATCGCTGCAGAAATGAGGAGATACAACCTGGAGATGCTTGGGATTAGTGAAACACATTGGACACAAGTTCAACAACAAAGACTAGCTTCAGAGGATCTTCTGTTATACTCCGGCCATGAAGAAGAAAAAGCCCCACATACACAAGGAGTTGCATTGATGCTGTCCAAACAAGCACAAAATGCACTTATAGGATGGGAACCTCATGGACCAAGGATCATCAAAGCCTCCTTCAAAACAAAGAAGGAGGGCATTTCAATGAATATCATCCAATGCTATGTTCCTACCAACGACTACAATGCAGACGTTAAAGATCAGTTTTACGATATGCTGAAGTCAATCGTCTAGAAGTGCCCAACAAACGACCTGATCATTCTGATGGGAGATTTCAACACCAAGGTTGGAACGGACAACACTGGATATGAAGACATCATGGGACGACACGGACTGGGAGAAAGAAACGAAAATGGTGAGAGATTTGCAAACCTATGTGCCTTCAATAAACTGGTCATAGGTGGCACTATATTCCCACATAAATGCATTCACAAAACCACATGGACTTCACCGGATCACACCTCGCATAACCAAATCGACCATATCTGCATCAACAAAAATTTCAGGAGGACGATGCAGGACGTGCGAACCAAGAGAGGAACTAATGTAGCATCGGATCATCACTTGCTGGTCGCCAAGATGAAATCGAAACTCAAGAAGCACTAGATAACGGGGCGGACAACAGCACAAAAGTTTAATACGGCTTTTCTTCGGGATACTGACAAACTCAACAAATTCAAGATAGTTCTCAGCAACAAGTTCCGGTCCTTTCATGATCTACACAATGGAGAAAGAATTACTATGGAAAGCAACTGGAAGGGGATCAAGGAAGCAATCACTTCAACATGTCATGGGGTCCTGGGTCACAAGAAGCACCATCACAAGGAATGGATCACTGTTGATACACTGGATAAGATTCAAGAAAGGAGGAACAAGGAAGCAGCAATCAATACCAGACGAACAAGAGCAGAAAAAGCCAAGGCACAAGCTGAATACACAGAAGTAAACAAGCAAGTGAAGAGGAGAATAAGAACCGACAAACGTAAATATGTGGAAGATTTAGCAATGACGGCGGAAAATGCTGCAAGAGAAGGAAACATGCGACAATTGTATGACATAACAAAGAAACTCTCTGGAAATCACCGTAAACCAGAACGACCAGTGAAAAGCAAGGAAGGCAAGGTTATCACCAACATTGAAGAACAACGAAACAGGTGGGTAGAACACTTCAAAGAACTCTTGAATCGACCAGCCCCACTGGACCTACCCAACATGGAAGCAGCACCTACGGACCTCCCAATCGATGCTGGCCCATCAACAATTGAAGAAATCAGCATGGTCATAAGACAAATCAAGAGTGGCAAAGCAGCAGGACCAGACAACATTCCAGCAGAGGCACTGAAAGCAGACGTAGCGGCAAATGCAAGGGTACTCCACATTCTCTTCAATAAGATTTGGGATGAGGAACAAGTACCAAAAGACTGGAAAGAAGGACTCCTGATCAAAATACCGAAGAAAGCCGATCTCAGCAAATCTGATAACTACAGGGGCATCACTCTTTTCTCAATACCGGGAAAAGTCTTCAACAGGGTATTGTTAAACAGGATGAAGGACTACGTAGACGCCCAACTTCGAGACCAACAGGCAGGATTTCATAAGGATAGATCGTGTACAGACCAAATCGCAACTCTACGGATCATTGTGGAACAATCAATCTAATGGAATTCGTCACTCTATATCAACTTCATTGACTACAAGAAAGGATTTGATAGCGTGGACAGGACAACATAATAGAAGCTTCTTCGATACAACAGCGTCCCTGAGAAGATAGTAAATATCATACAGAGTTCCTATGATGGATTATACTGCAAAATTGTGCATGGAGGACAAATGACAGACTCGTTCGAAGTAAAGACCGGTGTCAGGCAAGGTTGCTTACTCTCACCCTTTCTCTTTCTCCTGGTGACCGACTGGATCATGAAGACGTCAACATTTGAAGGGAAACGCGGGATACAGTGGAGATCTTGGATGCGGCTGGACGATCTTGACTTTGCAAATGATCCGGTTCTTCTATCGCAATCGCAACAACGAATGCAAGAGAAGACGATCAGGGTAGCAGCAGCCTCAGCAGCATTAGGTCTCAACACACACAAAGGGAAAAGCAAGATTCTCCTACACAACACAGCATGCACCAATCGAATCACAATTGACGGATAAGATTTGGAAGATGTAAAATCATTTACATATCTCGGCAGCATCGTTGATGAGCACGGTGGATCTGATGCAGATCGACAAAGCAAGAGCAGCATACTTACAAATGAAGAACATCTGGAACTCAAAACAATTGGTAATCAACACCAAGGTCAGGATTTTCAATACAAGTGTCAAGACAATTCTACTGTATGGGGCGGAAACCCGGAGAACTAAGAAAGCCATCATTCAGAAGATGCAGGTGTTTATTAACAGTTGGGAGAGCACCCAACTGTGTTACAAGGCAAGCCCTCACATGGAATCCTCAAGTCCAAAGGCAAAGAGGAAGACTATGGAACAAATTACGCCGTGAAATGGAGACAGACATGAGAAGAATGAACAACAATTGGATAGAACTGGAAAGGAAGGCACGGGACGGAGTGGGTTGGAGAATACAGTTCAGCGGCCTTTGCTCCATCGGGAGTAACAGGTGTAAGTATGTAAGTAATATTGATAAAATGTGTGGTGTTAACTGTTCGGGTAGTAAGTGATAACTATCATGCTAGGATTAATACCAGGGGGAAATTTTCCCTTTACATTTATCACAGCAATAAACTACCAACTGCCTATAACTCAACAGCATAAATATGAACTTGGAACATTTGTTGCTTTGACATAGACTAAGATTTGTTTTGGCTTTGTTCTGTGAGTTAAATAAACTTACTCACATAATGTACTCCCCTATATTCTTATATGTATACACTAGCCCTATCTTCGAGGAGCAGCTTAAGTAATTTAATTTAATTCCTCTTCTTTATTGTAGAATGAGAGGAGATCCGTGTCTTAAAAACTATTTGGGTGCAATGCTTTATCGTCTTGCTCCTTGTAGAACTAATCATACTTGAAGCTGTCATAAAGAGACTTCAAAATTAAAATCAAACAAACTCAGGGAAAGGTGTTATTTCTTCTATGGAATGGTTAACAACTGGAACACCATACTCGAATAAGTTGTATCAACCCAATTAGTGAACACATTCAAGAAGAAACTGGATCATCAGTGGGAAACCTACCTCAGTTATAATAAAGGTTGGCCGACCTATCGTCTTTATACTATACTCTCAACTAAAATCCCGCAGGCTTTGAATTAAATCTCATACGGCATTCGTGTATATGTATCTTTAGTGGGCCCCAAATGCCCTGGCACATCCGATGGTGGAAAGTCAGCTCTCCCTCTTGAAATGTCGCGCGTATACAGTCACTGTCAGCGTAGTCCTACTCACTACCTTTTTACAGCAGAGGTGTTGTTTACAAAATTGAGAGAACAAAAACCTAATGTCCGACGCTTTGACTGAATTGATGGGTTTGGATGATTCGCCCAGGGGAGTTGGAAAACCCTGATTCCAAACCAATAGTGCACATGGGCTCCAGGATCTCAAGGGAAAAGTGGTGTACGAACCAATTATTGATCACCGGCTTCCATGGAACTGCATCTCATGACGTTGCTCCACTGCCTTTTTGATCAGCCCTTTAGGTCAAAGGCTTCGGGAGTGACCTCATAACAAAACAACCAGCTTCGGTCTAGACACCCGAGCAGTATCACAGTCCACATACAAATCAAGTGACTTGTATGGAGCATATGTACTCAGTGCTTTTTTGTACCAATATTTATATGTTCAAATAAAATAAAAAACCAGAAAATAAACCTTTAGTGACTCTCAAATTCAGAGGAAATAACTCCGCATTAGTCTCTAGATTTTATTTTTTGTTTCTTCCTTGACTAACGTTAATTCATGATACGTATCCGACCTATATATTATCGAAAACTCTAATTTTCAAAAAACTTCCAAACAACGGAAGTGATAAAAACACTTGCTTTTAAAAGTTCATCAGTTCAATATATAATTGAGAAGAAATTTTCTTTGATTTTTGAACCATTATTATCAGATTATTTCTTTAAATAATCACAAAACGGAAGTTTACCTCATTGAACATACGTTTTCGTTTAAAGAATATATTATTTAATATTGGAGTGAAATTCATTCGAGTTCCATTTTGAATCAAAGAATAATGAACTTAAGTTTCATTGTAGTTTACAACTTATTATTATAAGTCTTCGTTAATGATCCTGCGGATGGATTGAACTCACGAACTATATGTTTTGTAGTAATCATATTTTGTTTAGATCACCGAGATAAAATCTAATTATTTACACTTTCAATATCTATTGATTCGTTCTACATCATGGTGTTCGAGATAACTTTTCAAAGCTTTAGATGGTAATTGTAACCGGTTCGATTCGCTTATATTAAGAATTAAACAATCCTTAATAAAAACACTGGATGATCATCAGGCTTCTTGCCGAACTTAGTAATGAAGATTCACCCCACAACTTTGTCTTTATAGCTCTCTACTAAGAAATACTATACTAGGATAAAATAACTTATTAGTTCACCTTAGCCTTTCTATTACCCTAACTGATGAAAACTTGTGACAAATATGCTTTTTTCTGTGCTTAAATAAGTCAAATAACGGCCAGACTATAATTTATGGACGAGCCAATCACATATAAGATAACAGGTCTCGAATTTTGGCGCGAAATTCGCTCACTCACTTGGATAAATTGAGTTTTGGCATTATAGCTGATGTCAGTTCGTCAAGAAAACTCCAAGTCCAATTCCTAACCTTAATCATCAACTGTAAATCACAGTTCTAATTCCTTGCACAGGTTTATAACCCACATTTGGTCCTAGTTATTAGATGGACACTCTCAAGGTCAGTCTAGCGTCGCTCGAAGGTCATCCATAAATTATAGCCTCACCCAAATAACTTTTATTCTAACTGCTAAGAAATTTAATCATCCAGGCTTTAGCTGTCTCTGTTGAATGTAGTCAACTGTCTATCTATAAAACAACCGAAATTTCTTTGATCATATCAGACGACCTAACCACTTTTCATAATTACAGGAAGTAGATTATTAAAAAGTTTATTAATAAGTAAGTGGATAAAATGTATCATTAGTGAAGTAATTCGACAAAATACTTGTCAGATTAAGATCATAAAGAGAGAATACTTTGATCAAATCAACAAAAGCCTGTGTCAGTATATCTTCCTGATTGATCATTATCTTAATAGTGTATGTAGCGCCGTATACTGAGTAAATTTGAAAAAAGGATAGGTTTTTTTCGGTGAGACTATAATTTATGGACGACCTTTGAGCAACACCAAGATGATCTTGAAAATGTCTACCTACTTAATTGGGTTAAATAAGGGTTATAAATTAGTGTAAAGAATGAGGATTAGAATTTATGGTTGATCGTTAAGGTTAGGAATTAGATTCAATGTTTTCATCACTAACTGAGACCGGTTATAATGCCGAAATAATATTTAGTCAAATGAATGAATGAATTTCGTGCCAAAATCCAAGACCTGTAATCCTAAATCTGATTGGTTCATCCATAAATTATAGTCTCGCCGTTTTCCCAACTCTCATGATAAATGGGACCAAAGTAACTATTATGATTAAGCGATTAATACTTCGTTGTTGGTGATACAGTTTTCTTTGTAGTCTTTGGCTTCTCTTTTAGAGTTAGTTAAATGATAGGATTGACCACATTAATTGAACAGGACATCAGATCATAACAATGTATTGAATGCGTAGAAATATTTGTTTAATAGTGTGAAATTTCAAATTATTCTTTAGATTAAACCACTTATAAATCTTAGTTTTATTCTGTAAGAAAATGATATTACATTTCATGGATCTTATTCCTTCATAGAAAATCATCAGTAATGTGGATTTTGAATATACAGTGCCAAATCGGTCATATTACTACGTAGACATTTAAAAACAAAACTGCAACATATAACTTATTCGTGACTACTGGACTACTGCTAATATGAATAGCCATAAATTAATATTTGTTATTACTATTTTCGGATAACTTACATTAAAATCTCGTGTCAAAGATATGAGTGGAGTCCAATCCATGTCGGGTGGAAAAAGTTATCCACCTCAGACAATGGATGAAGGGTTGCGCAGGATCATCGGTCGATTTAAGTCAGACATTTACACCACTGGATGCCGACTCAATGGTCTCGAGGTTAAACGTTCATGCTTAAAAATGAAGGTCCTGGGTTTGGATCTCGAGTGAGGGATCGTGGGTACTCACTGTTGAGGAGTCCTATACTAGGATGAAACGGTCATCCAATGCATCCAAGTTTTCAGTGGTGGTTTAGCTCAGACTGATTTATGAATTCAACTTTGAAAATACTACAACCCCCACAAATCCCCATACTGGTAACAAAGATATGAGTTTCATTTTTAAAAGATATCTTTAACTAAAATGTTACTGACATTTACAGTCGAGTAAGAAAACTGAATTAAAATACAGGGTTTCCTATCGATTGACTAAAACTATCCAACGATATTGTCTATCCATTATTTCGTATCATCATGGATGTACATCCTACTGTCAACATAGTCAGTTGGTGTTTGAAGCAAAAGGTACTGAATTATAACATAAGTGTGAACATCAACAATGAGATTGAGGTATATCCAAGTGATGGGTTCTAAATAGGACGAAATATACATCCTAGATTCCCTTGTAAGCCACTATTTGTTCTCAATAATAACTGAAAAATATTTTTATTGTTCATATAAAGTGTTTTGATGACTATTAGATCGGTTACTTCTGATTAACAATCGTTTGTTGATTAATTTCATGAGCATTATTTTCAAAATGTAGTTAAAACATGCTAAAATGATGATGACAAGTTAAACTTGCTTATTGGAACGAGAAATTCGATGTAACTCCATATGTGTTACTTATCTACTAAATGGAAATTATTTTTGATTGAGATCATGAACCGATTGATGTCAGACCACCATTAAAAACCTGGAAGCGAGATTTAAGGCCCTGGGTTCGAATTCCGCAAGCGGGATCGTGGATGCACACTACTGAGGTGTCCCACAATAGGACGAAACGGCCATCCAGTGCTTCCAGGTTTTCAATGGTGGTCTGACATCAACCGGTTCATGACCGCAATGAAAAAAACTTAACAATCGCCACAACCCCGAAACTGAAAATTTTGTTGATAAATTAAACTAATCAGAACTTGTGTTTTTTATAGTTTATGTTTGAAACTGAATCTTATCCAAAAAATACTATTACAGGTGATTTGGCCTAAATACACTAATCGGAACCAAATGTGCACACAGACTCATATTCTATCAGTGCCACTTTGTTGACTTATTTGTTAGTGTTCATTCACAAAGAATGTAGAAGCTGTGCTACCTTATAAAAAAATAATAGAATAAACTTGTTTACAGTTATATAGACGCGAGTCTATATCATTTAGTCTTGGATATAAAGGTCGAAGCATTGATAGTATGCATTAAAAATACTCCTAAATCATATAGGAAACGCTAAACACATTTCAGTTATACAAATTATCTTAGTAACAAATTCTTTATTTAAACAAATTCTGTGATAGGTGACTAATTAAAACCAATGGTTGTTTCATGGTCAACTCGCTTAACCCTGGCACTACAGTATAAAGTATTACAATGCAGGAACAGAACCGAATAAATATATTTTGCACATTTTACTTTGAATTGGTTGTGTACTCACATTTAAGTAAATCTAATAGGAATAATTTTTAAAACAATTACTATGTTATTTGTCTAAACAAAATCTCAATAGTTCTCTTAGTGCCAGATCTTTATAGAAAGTAATCAGTGATGTGGTCGCTATCAATATGTTGAGTTACTGGCGTCGATAAACATTAACTAACCGTCGACACAAAAGTTTGTTTTTATGGGAACTATTGATGTTTTTTATTTCAAACTTGAATGTATTTAAATTGGATTATCGAACATCCAAATCGTATTGATTGATCGTTGTTGTCATGTGTTATCTGCTGTGAGGATTGCCTTCATATAACCATTTTTCATAAATTTTTATGGTGTAGATGAATTTATGGCTAAGAGAAGAATCCAGTACTTTCATTTTGACTTACTTGAGACTTATCAGCTGGATGTACCTGAATCTGAGTGTTGATGTTCACACACGAAATTGAACCCAGTGTCTTTCATTTCACCCCAGATGTATCCATCTGATGAGTTCAAAATAGAGCGAAATACACATCCTTAATTCTACTGCTAACCACGAATCTATCTATTTGCTTAGATCTGTTTTAATTTATGAACTGGGTTTACCAACCGAGTACATTTATACGCTTTCATAAAGTGTTTCAAACCTATTACTACTATAATTACTGAAAGACTCAAAAAGTACATTCACTATACTTCGTATATCTTCTTTCCTGTGTCCTTTGAGGTAAAGAGAAGTAATTACTACGGGTTTCATCCATCATATTTATTCAGCGATGAAAAGAGATGTCATCAGAGCAAGAATATTTGTAAACATTTGTGTATGAATATCCATAGAAACTAGTAACTTTTTAAAAACATTTTTATATATCCTTTGAACACTGAAAAATCAATAGTCATAAAAAGGGAATTATTTAGCAATTCTATATTATTCGCTCAGTAAATAAATCATATTATCAAGATTCTCAATGAAAAAAAATGGATTTGTTAAAAAAACGCGTGGACGAACCAAAGCAGAATCTTAATTAATCTTAATTAGTAACTAAGATGGTATTAAGTATATTCCTACACTAATAAATAATTCAATGGATTAAAATAACTTACCACAATGAAATCTCTGAAATTCTTCACCATTTTTTCATTGATCAAGCTTAAGAATGAATAGTGTGTAGTAAGATAAATGGAAAGATGAAGCTATAATTGACTTTAATTATTCAAAATGAATAAGAAATTAAACAATGACAGAAAATTTTATTCAGAGGATTAAAATAGATAATCTATTGTTGCTGTTACATACTGTGATGACTGAACCTTATATTGTGAGAGTTTATTTCACCGGTTCTCCCTAATTAGATAATCAGTGAAAGCCAGGAAATATTGGATAGCTATTTTGTTCTAACATGAGAAACCTCAGTACTGCTAATCCACAATCTCATGAGAAGCGCCTCACTTCCAGATCACTTTGTTGGAGTTCAATAATTTACAATTCCAGTCCCTATTTGTAGTTTGATTAAGGTTAACCCATGATGCACACTACAAAATTCATCACTTTCAAAAAACCCTTAAGCTTATAAATGACGATTAGGTATTTAGCGATTAGTTCATGTTACCACATCATGATTATTTAATTGGTCGCGCATGTAGATACACACTTATCCAAAACATATAATTTTGTATCTTGTTATTTATTCCACTCAAATAAGGACGCGAGAGAAAGTGCGAGGAAAAAAGGGAACTCATCAATAAGGACATTCATTGATATATATATATATATATATATATATATATATATATATAAGCCTACTCAAAAAATATAGCTTAGATAATAGACTTACTTTAAGTAGCTCTACTCTCATTTACATTTACTTGAAGTAGCATGTATATTTTTAGAACAAATGAAGTGCTGTTTTAAACAATACCGAAATCACCCAGCAGTATTAGACTATTTCATAAATACTCAAAGGGTATTTGAATGGTCTGTGCCATTAAATAATTCGTATTCCCTGACATAGATATTTTTTCATGAATCAGTTATGAATATCATATCAAATGGATATTCAATAGTAATTGAAAGGATACATTCTCTGAACCTCATTATTATAGAACTTCACACTAATTATTTGAGCAAATCAACTAGATTCTCAGTCTCACTGTTTCAAACAAATGTATGAAATAACATGAATGGAGTGATCATAGTAGTAAATTGCTACTAAACCCGATAAATTACATTGTTTGTTGAAGGTGGACTTTCCAAAGAATGTTTAAAGAAGTGGGTTTTTAAGTGATTGTCAAGACCAAGTGACAGAGAGAAATAGGAATAAATTTCTCATGCTTTAAAAAACATCAACTCAGTCATTTAACACGTATGATATTTGTCCTCATTTATACGATCACCTGGATTTTATTTCTTGTATCTGATTAATTTATTTGACCTAGCGATAACACTATTTGAAGGTGAAGAGATCGCTAACTACTGAATTGCATTACTAATCTTTATTGACTATTAAGTTGAGTACACATCTAATAAACGTTTATTCTTGCTTACAATGATGAATAAATAAGGAATCAAGATAGTATGCTCAAGGGATCTCAAATAACATTATTACTACTATAACGAGTGGTGTCTGAAATCTGATACTGATACACAATGTCCTATGCGTTAACTTCCCAACTGACTGCTTGAACGAGAACATAAGAGTAAACGGGAAAGTAATATATATATATACGTCATTCTATCTCTTAGGAAATTATTCTGTTTCTTAGCCAATGTAATACACTTGTCTTTTAAATCATTTCTGATTACCGTCGACTGACCTTCTCATTAGGCTACTTCTGGTTGGCTTGTCATATCATTTACATCTACCCATCCGTAACGCTGATAAAAACAAATAAATTAACGAATATACACAATTAAACCAAACAGCAAAAGTGTTCATGATCCCGGTTAAGATCGATATTCTATGAATTTTGTAGTTTTACATCACAGAATAGCTTTATCCAAACAATGGGTTGTTTTACTGGTAACTTACTTTGAGAGGTAACTGCTGGAATTCTAGTGAGAGACGATGATCAGTCGATCTGGACGACGTCGGATGTGAAAGTAATATCACTGACTCAGTGTAATAACTTTACCAAAGTTATAAATGTAAACCAATCGTATCCAACACTCTGATCTGTGAATTAAAGGATTTCTTGTGAAACGTGAATGTCCTGGGTGCGATCTGTGCTTGATGTGCATTTTTGAGGAACCGCGTACTAGAACGAAACCGTTATTCAATGTTTCCTAGTTTCAAATAATTCCGTAACTGAAGTCAGTTAGTGATGTAGAACTACAAACTAAACTACTTGCACAACCGTTTACCCAAAAAACAGTAACCCATTTTACATTATAATATATCGGCCATCAATTTACCTTTGTTGAAGTAAATCCGAAACTAAGGCACGAATTTCCGATTTACGTCGTTCAGCATCTTCATCTGGCAAACTGTCTATACTTTCAACTGATACTTGACGTTCTACTGGAGCTACTTCTGCATACATTGGACAATCACCATCATCTCCATATTCACTGGCTGAACTGTCATCATCATCATCATTACTCCTAGATTTCTTTTTCTTCGCACTCTCATTGGTCGACTGTTCGCCGGGCATTTTCAATGACGTTAGTTTATTCGATAAATCATTAATTAAACCATTCTTTTTTGTTTGAACAGAATCAAGAAATTTGGATGTACCAGATAGAAAATTATTTACTCCAGCTGTAGCTGAACTAGACAATGAAGTTGTTGTTGATGTGGCCCCAGTGGTCCCAGTTTCTTCTTCTTGTTCTCCAACTTTCGCATCAGGATTTAATACACTTTTAAAAAATCCTTTCACACTCATTTTAACATCAGTGATAGTAAGTAGGTTACAGGTAATTCAATTACTTGATATGAAAAAGAAATCAAAATGTACTTTTAAGATTGTTTATAAATGACTAAAATAAAAGATATAATTATGATCAAGCTTAACTTAATTACAACTCATGGAATGTAAATATCTCATTCTTGCAATAAATCAGTTGTGATCGCAATACCTCTGTGGTAATATCTGTAACTGTGACAATAGGCGGCATGGCTTTTAATTCCCTGTAGATCAGCAATTTCCTTTAGATTTCAGATATACTCTGATGAGAAGTAATAACCAAAGGGGAACCTAGTTTCGGAGCTTCATGTGGATTGTCTCCAACCACCTTATATGGTTAAATGATTTCACAGAATCAGCGATTCTTATCTAATTCTGTGTTTGTGAAACGAATTAATTTAGAGAGTCTTTGAAGACGTAGGATTTGAAACCATATATTTTATTCACTTCTACAACTACTGAGCCTCAGATGTAAAGTAGCATTAAAATAAAGAAATACATATGAACATTATTAGTAAAACAGGTCGAGATTGAAATACAGTCTATATGGACTCGTTTATATAACGATCTGATCGACAACCAAATAAAAAAAGAAAAATTTATTACACTATACAATCTTGTTTACTACGCGCTGAAAAATCAGTGACTGTTACTGTTAGTAACCACATGTACGAAGAATAGATTAGAACTTTTTCTGAGACAGATTTGATGAGAGAAGTTCAAACGTGACTTTTATCATGAAAAGACTATTCTCAAGAATAGTGGAGTTGGAAAATTAAATTATCTTAAGCACCTCAACAATCAATCATTTTAAATTAGTCAAACTCAGTGGACCAATGATTACTGGTATTTTATATGTTGCACGATGTTAGCTTAATCAACACAGATAATGACTGGATAGTTTTTTCAGGCTAGTATGGGATCGCTTAACAGTGTCTACCAACGATCCCACCAGAGATTAGTCTTAGGACTTTCAAGTCTTTCTGAGAACACTTAAATATTACATTCATAGGCTCAGTATTTATTGATACACTTCCAATTTCAGTCATTTTACGACATAAAGTGCTGATCATCCAGTATAACTGTCACCAAATGTTTCACACCTAGCTTGTCTAACCTCCAACGGCTTAGACTTCATACGAGGATTTTAGAAACATCTTTGAGCAATTCATTAATGAGCTCATTGTTATATTTTAGCTGGAGGATTATTTTGGAGACATTGAACAAAGAGTTTTGATAGTTAATCGCTCGCTGGTGAACGTGAAGGTCCTGAATATAATCTATGGTGAAATTGTGGGTTCTCATGCTGGGTCCCATGTTCTTTAAAAGTAACTGTCTAGTGGGTCCTGGTCTTAAATGATACTCGAACTAAGGTCAGTTTGTGATAAATATAGCTTACTTATCCATTTGGTCTCCACAACACCTCTTAAATTATAATGCTATCGTTGTTCATTAGACACACGCACACATTATATAAAAGTGCTCAATAATCTCGTTTTCTTTATTTCAGTTTGTTCCCTTCCTCTCTTTTCTCTTCCTATTCGTTTTCGTACACTCTTCTGTCTACCATCTATGTAATCAATAACTACCGATATCTGTTGTCCTCTTGTTTGATTAAACGATGTCATTAACTTGAAAGAATATCAACATCTGGTGAGTCTGTGTGTATAAATGAGATGAGATTACTCAGACTATATAGTAGTACAAATTAAAATACCTAACTTATGTTTAAATGATGTCGAACTTTTTAAAACAGTGAATTACAAGGATCTACAAATTGAATACTTTTAAATGATGTTATTAGTAACGCTTTCAATCTTCACTAAATGTTGTGTACGTGGTAATATTAATCAAATTTCTATTCATTTAGTGGGTTAGCGTTGCATAAATAAATGTAATCTTTATTAAAGATTTCGCTTCATGTCCTAACGTCCCAACTGAATATGTTCTTAGTAGACAGTTTAAGAAAACTGCATTCACTTGTTATGAAATCTTTAATGAAAAATATATTTAAATATGGAGTATTCACCCATTATAAGAACGGACTGATAACAGATAGTGTTGGGTATGACATACCTGAAAGAGCTGTAAGTAACCTCACCATAACAAGCGTCATATACTAACTATCCTCATATTACTTTATAAGTGTTCATGTGTGTAATATCAATCACTTCCATTTTCTTCGTCACATGAGCGATACTACTGCCAATCACAATCTGATCAGTAATATGACGTAGACACCATTTTTCTAGACATAACAAGAACAACTAGTTTAAGAGTACGAATGATCGTTTCCATTCAATTCTCTAGTATGGTCGCCGGTGGAGAAAGACAGCTCTTCCTCCCGAAGTGCTCTCATATGGCCACGCGTATAGAATCACTGTCCTATTCACTGCATTCTTGTAACGGGGATGTTGTTTACGAAATTGAGAGGACAAAAAACGAATGTCCAGCGCTTTAACCTGGTTGGTGGATAAGGAAAAATCATCTAGGGGAGTTGGAAAACCCTGATTCCAAACCAATAGTGCAAATAAGCTCCAGTATCCTGAAGGAACAAATGGCGTACAAACCAATTGCTGGTTACCGGCTATCATGGGACTGTATCTCCTTACGTCGCTCCACTGCCTTGTGGATTAGACCTGTAGGTCAAAGGCTCAGAATGTGGACCTCTAAGAAAATCATTTGCCTCGGTTTGGGAGACCGAGTAGTACTCCAGCCTTCACACAAATCAAATGACGAAGTATGGCACATATGTATTCGTTGCCTCTTTGTACTAATAGATGTGTGTTTGAACAAATAAATCACTCGTTTTCCATAACTCCATTAAAATCTACATTTATAAATTCAAAATTATCATTATTTCGTAACAATAAACAAAATACTGAAGACAAATTAATCCATCCTATAACATAACAACTGATATGACGATCAATTTGGAATTTTGTACATAAAATCAAACCTTAAATCCCAAGTAAACAAATTTTCGTTAATAAAACAACTAACCAGATAACTTTTCAAATGGGGTGTGCTAAATTTAAGTTATTCATGTTTTGTAAAATAATGATCATGCCTAATTAGTATGATCATGAGTAATTTGCCAGTTATAGTCAATGAACAAAAAACTAAAGTCCAACAAAAAAGCAATGATTATTCAGTTTAACGCATACCCAGTTGACTGGATTTCATTCCCTAATCGATACTATTCACATTTAGAGTATCTATAATCTGAGTAAATTTACTAGTGAATAATTATATTGGATATTGCTTTTATAGTCTAGAAATTAAGCATTCTTACGCAAGACAGGAATTCCTGAGTTCGGTCTCTTGTAGCGTGGTGGTGTTTGTTCACTATTGAGGAATTTCATAGTCGGAATTTCATAGTTGTTCAATGCTTCTAGTGAAGGTCTAGCTAAAATCAGTTCGTTGTTTAAATTATAAAGGTTCTACAACCTCAAAGAATCCCCCCTTCTGTACTGAAAATACATATATTCTCAACTTTTACATCCAGGTTAGTTAACTAATATTTCTGCACCCTCAAAGTTTTATTAGACATTATTCTTCAACCTTTCGATAAATTAACAAAATAAGGTTGAATATAAAGCATTGGTAATTCGTATCGCGAATTGATATCAGATGATTTAACGAGTGAAAATCAAAGAAGTACTATCTAGCTATCTCACTGCAGTTAAAAGATTCTCAGCACATTATTTTGGAATCATTGACTTTCAGATTTTATCGAAAGCTGTAGAAGTAAGCTATAATAACGAACGAATAAGATTTCAGACGGCAGAGAAGTTCAAAGCACCCTAAACCGGTAGTCCATCACTTTAATCACAATAGATTTTGAGGATTTGGAATACGTAACTTGGAAAGGACTACTTTGAATTTGTTCCATATAGACAAGCTACAATACTGTTCTCATTAAAAAACTTCCGTAGTACCTGGAACTACTATGTACTCAGATGACTGGATGGAATACTTGAATCTTTGAAGAAACGTCTACCACCACATAGTTGTCATGTAAAAGCGACATTTTTAGGTTTCACCGACATGAGAACACAAGAAAAACACATAGAAGCTATATGATACCCTCTAAAACATTACTAACATGAATATCCTGTCTCAACAAAAAGAACTTGCTTTTCAGTCATATGAACCATTTTATTAATTAGGCACTTCGCAATTTTCATCTACTGATTCGATTTCCGACATGGAAACATTCCCTGTTAATCGACTAGAATCTTATTAACTCTCTTGCTACAAAGTATTTTATAACTAAAAAGAATCTAATGATTAGTTAAAAATTTGTTCAACATTGTCGGTATAGTTTATTTCTAGGCAGTGAATAAATAAGGTCAATGAAGCTAGTGTTTACTCTCATTGCGATTATTGGAATTTCATAAGAGTTTTCTTGAGTACCTCTAATATTTAAATCAATAATTCTCGTGAATAATTAATTAAGTAAAATAAAGGTTAAGAACATACCATTTATTTATTTATTTGAAAACACAAATATGGGTACAAAGGGTCACTGAATGCATAGACGCCAGACAAGTCACTTGATTTGTGCATGAGCTGTGATGCTGCCCGGGTTCACAGACCAAAGCACGTGTTTCTCTTAGGAGGCCATACCCCAAGCTTTCGACCTAAAGGTCTGACTTACAAGGCAGTAGAGCAACGTCAGAATACACAGTCCCATAGTAGCCAGTGACCAGCAATGGTTTTATACGTCATTCGCTCCTTCAGTATCTTTGAGTCCATGTATACCATCGAGATTTAGATGGTGGTTGACTACCTCCAACCACCATCTAAATCTCAATACATAGTACCCGCAGTGTCGAGTCACCTAGACTGGTGGCCACATTGCAACATGATCGATAGCATTCGATCTGCACTAATAAGGACTAGACAAGCATGATATTGATCACCACCCAGTGATCAATCAATTGTGATGTATACCATCGGTTTGGAATCAGGGT